GAATTAGTCCAATTAGTACAATCTCGGTCAATTATATTGTAATCGAACTCGAAATAATCCAATTGAGGTCCAATTAGTACAATCTCGAACAATTATAGTGAGTTCAATTGACTGAGATTGTACTAATTTGACTTCAATTGGACTAATTCGAGTTCGATTACAATATAATTGTTCGAGATTGTACTAATTGGACCTCAATTGGACTATTTCGAGTTCGATTACAATATAATTAACCGAGATTGTACTAATTGGATTTCAATTATCCAATCCAATTCCTCTCGCCCTAAAAATTCCCTAGAAGCTCTTCGGCTAATTTCCGATCTGTCGCCTTCTTCTGCGACGGATTAGCTCGGCCAGGGGTCGTCTTTGACCGCCTGGCCCACTCACGGTGATGTGCTCCTCCGATTTGGCCGTGGATTATTTGGAGAGCGGTGGTCGGGTCGGTGGTCGTGGTTTGGGTCTCGGTGGGTGGTTGCGGTCTTGCCCGAGCGGCGTTCGGAGGTCGATTGAAAGCGCCTGTTTCGATTGACGGAGGTGCGTTGGTTCGTGTTGGGCTGCCCCCTTGGGTCCTCCTCTGCGGCTGCGGGCTGTGGCTTTCCGGCGGGGCTCTCGCCTTTTTGGGAGGGTGTGGCTGGGCGTCTCGGGTAATTTGTGGTGGTGTTGGGGGGCGGGAGCTGTGGTGTGGGCTGGGAGCCCGGTTGTATTGCCGTTTTGGTGCAGCAGCCGGGTTTGAGGGCTCGGGCCTATCACGTCTTTCCTTGTCCGGCTAGTGGTGTTAGGTGGGGAGGGATTGGGTCCTATTGAGCTTGGCTGGTGGTGTTAGGCTCGTTCGATGGGGCCGGCGTGGTGGCTGTGTGTTCTCTCGGTTAGAGATGGTCCGATTCGGGACTGTCTTGAGGGTTGAGGGCACCTGCTGTATAGGCGTTCGTGCAGTTTCGGTAGCGGTTCTCGGGCTTGAGATTTTCTTGCGTCGGTTGTTCGCCGTTGTTTGAGTGTCGTCCAGATCGTAGGGGAAGGGCTCCGTTTGTTTATTTAGTGTAGATGTTTTGTTGTATTTTGTTTTATGTGTGTTTGGGGTGTTTATGTTGTGTGCGTTTTGTGTTTTTGGTTTGGGCTGTTTAGTCCTGGTTCGGCCCGAGTGTAGCCTTTATTCTCCTGTTGGGAGTTTACACCCGGGTATTACCCTGTTGGGATTGTTTTTATTTGTGTGTTTTTTTGGTATTACCCTGTTGGGGTTTTTTTTTATTTTAGTGTTGGTAGTGTGCTAGTATTCTAGTATTGCTAGTT